TGGAGCCCCATCAAGACCTCGGGATCACATGCAAACATGTTTCGGGAATGCTGTTGAGATCTCTGACGCTGTTTTGGCACTCCCTTGGGTTGTCTTCGTGTCCTCTTGGCTGCCCCTGAAACCATTGTAGAAGTCGAGATCCCATGATCCCATGAGTTGAAGCAGTGGAATTTTAGAATTTCTTTTTTCCAACTCATCCCTGCTTATTTTTGCACGAAGACCCCGAGAGGCATCCCAACAGACCGTGGCCTGCATCCAGAAAACGTCAAACCCACAGCCCAGGCACTACAATTTGAAACACATGCAAATCCCACAATCCCTTTTTTTCAAGTTCATCCCTTGTCTACTCTTGCACAACAGACCACAACAAGGCCCCCCTCAGCTCCCAGAAAAGAAACCAGGAGACCTTTGACGGCCCCAAATCGTTGAATACCGAACGGAAATTAATAATTTCCTCGTTTCCGCAGTTCCCCTCCTGTACGGTTCCGAGGCTTGCGCAGGGCCTCCAAGAGAGTCCCTGGATGCAAGAAGCGACGAACAAATATTCCATGGTTTTGCTCATGAAGCCTAGTTAGAGCGTGGGCGCGCGCGAAGCGCGCGTGATGGTTCTAGTATATAGATATACAGTTATACAGAGTCCAATGTAGAGACGTAGTGAAACGTATGTGTTGTGCATCATATGTGGTACAATCCATGTCGTGAACGATCACAAAGCGCACCGCCGGCGCGAAAGTCTGTCAGCGCAACCTATGTGGTGCAAGCCACCGGTTGCGACGAGGCGGCGACGTGAGGGTGACGGCCGCCACGCAGCCGCCAGACCGACACACAAGCACAGCCGACGAGTCGGCGACGGGGCGGCAACGGCTGGCGCGAAGCCGTCAGACCGACGCAGGCCCACTTCTTTAGACCAGAGGTGAGAAGCCCTAAGTGCAAGCATTGCTTGGGGACTTGATGTACATGTACACATGCATCGGCGGCACGTCGGCGAGTTTGCTCCCCGATGCCACTTCACGATCATAGCATTACCCCCTGAGCTGGTCGCCCCCCAAAGCATGGTCGACCTACACCCTGACCCGCTGCACCCCCCGGCGAGACCTGCCTCTGCGACAGTCCAGGCGAGCGCCCGCCGCGCCCACAGCAGGATGACAGCGCAAGCAGAGAAATCTTGGGATGTTGCGAGAGTGGGCGGGAAGGGATGGACGAGACGTGAAAGAAGGGTGAGGAATGAAAAGTGAGAGAAAGAGAGGGGCGGTGAAGGCGGACAGGAAAGCGAGAAGGGGGAGGGCTCAACAATGGGAGGGAGGGTAAGGTGGACTCTAAGTCTGAGAAGTTTTCGGAGGTTTCCGGAGCTGCTGGGATCTCGAGCTGGTGCATGGCTTGTCTGTCTGTGGGCGGAATCTTTGTGGCATGGGTGGTTCCCACCAGCAGTGGCCGGCATCGGCGCCGGTGCCACGTCAATGCTCCCACCATTCCAGCAGGATGCTGAGTGACCCTCGTCCGCTCGCTCACCAGACCAGCTCTTACAGACCGCTAGTGCGCACGCGACTGCAAGATGGAAACCTAAACGAAAGCATGACTTCAGATGTTCCCGGCAATTGTATCCAGTAGCCTCCGACTAATCCCGCCACTGTGCCTGAGTTGTGGGTCATAAGTCTCTTGTATGAATCTAAGGGTATCTTGTTATTCCTCTTGGGGTCTCTTGGAGGCAGTTTTAAGCCTCTTGGGGTCCTCTTTGGGGCGTCTCGGTGGTCATCTTAGGGCGGAGGGCTCGAAATGTCATGTCGCATTTTCCTGCTTTGGATCCTCTCGGAGCCATTTTTGGCCGACTCGGGGTGCTCTTTGGCCGTCTTTGGGACCTCTTAGATGGTCTTGGGGTCTTCTTGGGAGCCTCTTGGGGCGCTCTTGGGTTCCTCTTGGGTCATCTCGGAGCGAAAGAAGCCCGACAATGCGAGAACGTCAAACTTTTCCAAACTCTGTTTCAGGACATCGCAGATTGTTGCCTTGTGGGACTCTTGTGGTGGTCCTCTTGAGGACCTTTTCGGAGTCTTGGAGGCCTCATGGCCATGTTGAGGCCACCTTTGGGCATTTGGGAGCGCTTTTGGGCTATCCCAGACGCCTGCAGGACCGTCTGGAAGCACCTCCTCGAGCTCTTTTGGACTGTCTTGGGGCCCTCTGACTTCGGGAGGGTCACGCGGCAGTGAATAGTTCCTAAGGAGTTGGGACTCAAAGGACCTGGGGTCACTTCAACTCGTGCCTCCAGGCACGGTGGCGGATATATCGCAGCCTGCTCGAGATTCGGCAGCATTTAGTCAGTCAGCTTTTATCTGGCAGACTTCAACTGGGGCGGGGGATTTCCGATTCCACCCTTGAATCGCGTGCAGCGCGTTTTGTGCAATCTTCCTTGCGAGCGAATTTTCTTGTTGTCTCTGGAACTGCTGGGGCATCGGGCTGAAGCATGGCTCATGTTTGCCCCTGGCTCGCTTCGATTGCCTGGGTGGTTTCCACTAGCAGTGGCTGGGGGCTGTGCCGAAATATGGTGAGAGGCTATTTTTGATGCCCTTGGCATGCTGCGAACTTGGAGATCACAGTGAATGTGCGAGCCATTGCACTTTCACACACGTCCTGTGCATGGTGGTGAGTTCGCGCAGAACTAAAGCATTGATCATGGCGAAGGTGGTGGTAATGTTGATGATGATGATGATGATGATGATGATGATGATGATGATGATGATGATGATGATGATGATGATGATGATGCCGATGATGATGATGATGAGAAGAGTATGGTTTCTGCAACTGAGGTGATGGCGATGGTGACGAGCAAAGAGTCGCCTTTGTCTATGTCGGGGTCATCTCTCGGCGTCCTAGCCGAAGAGCTCCCATAGCGGGCGACGGCTGGGAGGTGCAATTAGGAGTGCTGGTTCGTTTTTGCAAATGAGGACGCAAGGCGTCGATACACAGTTATTGCCATACTGCATAATAGATCCACGATCTCCGTAAGACATCCAAGTTGGTTCGCCAAACTGAGAACTCCAGCGCTGTAGTCCAATCTAGGCCGCGATGGGGCGAAATCGCCTGGCAGCCGCAACCATAGTGAACTCGTGCTCGGCCCTGCTAGGATGCTACCGTCGTTTGTCGATAGAGTTCTTGTGCAGCTCAACCTGCGATGCTACATAATCCCTGTGTGGGGGGTCGAACAGTCCCGTTGTTGGATCTTGCCCTGATTGACGGGTCCACAATTCTTTTGTGCCCATTCGGGCATGGCGCGCCTCAGGTTCATATAATGGCGCGTCGAAGGACCTTCCTTGGTGCAGCCCATGCGTTCCCTCTCGAGGATGATGCGTCTGGGTTCCAGACAAAGGTGTGACCCAGGTTCCGAAAGTGCGGCAGGCGGCAGGTCTCCCACGTTGAGAAAGTGCAGCATGAGCAGGGGTATCTCGCCATTCAGTGTCTCTCAGATCTAAAGAGCACGGCAAGGCGAAGGATTCTCACAGTCCAAAGATAGGCAGGGGCATCGGATTCTCACCTTTCCATGTCGCCCAGGTCCAGGGAATGTGACAGGGGGGTTTAGCAGTCTCCCTATTCCAGGTTTTCCTAGGTCCAACGAGCGTGGCAGAGGCATCAGCTCCATGTCAAGTTGCGCTTAGGCAGAGCCGCAGGTTTTTGGTCAAGTTGCCGAGGTCTTTATGGTTTGGCCGGCGCATCGGGTTCTTATTCCATGTCTCCCAGGTCCAAGACGTGTGTGGCAGTAGCGCAGGGTTAACACCTTTCCAGGTCTTCCGAGTCATTGGAGATTGCGAGATCCGCACTGAAGCATTCGCGTCAGAATGTCTGGGAGGTCTGCACGGGTAGTTTTCTGAGTCGTGGGATGTATGCAGTCCGCACGCACGCCTGGTGTTTGAATGCCTCGCTGGTTACAACAGTAGATGTGTAAGGGAGCGGGCCACTCGCAACTGAGAGCGGGCAGGAACACGATGTCAAATTCAAGGTGCTCCCAGTTAAGACGGAACGTGGCCATGTGCCACCACCTATTCTTTGTCCCCCCCCCTCCTGCGCATACCTCTGGTATGTCGGTCCTGGGTCTGCCCCTGTCTGCCAGGGGTCATCTTCCCCCGGCTCGACGTGCCGAGGGAAGCGCAGATCGTAGGCATGCTGATCCCCTTGGCGCAGGTGCGGGAGCCTTTCTCTGCAATCCGGTGGGTCATGGAGCATGCGGTTACGCCTCTGCCGGAGCTCTTCGGGTTGAAGCCGGCGCCTGGGGGGGGGCAGCGGCTTTCAGGTCGTGTGCTACAGCCACGGATTACACACATGCGCGTTTTGGTGGCAAGAGTTCAAACGATGTGTACGTATAGTGTGAAAACGTTGAACCAAGTAGTTGGCGTCGATTCGTTATTTAACGGCATGTGGCGAACCGGAGCTCCTCTTGGGGCTGCCATCTGCGATCGTATGGGCCATAGTGAGGCCTCAGACGCTTGTCGAAGCGAAGCGGCGAGAAGGGACAGGTCATTGAAAAGCCATAGGTATTTGAAAAGCCGTGGCATCTCTGGATAACCTTTGGAGTCTCCGCGCCCAGTTGGAGCGTCTTTTGGCGTCTGGGCCGTAAAGGAGCCCTTTGGGGTTGGTTGAGCATGTTAGAGGCGCCCACGAATGGTTTGGAGGCAGTGGAGGCCCAGGAGACGTGCTGGGGAGCTGGTCGCCCCTGCCACCCGTTGCCGTCCCCCTCGAAGGGGATCCTGGGGAGGGGGTAAGGGGGAGTGGTGCAGCTTGATGCCTCATACTGCGCCCTCTCACCCACGGCGAGCGTTGATCGGCGGATTCTAAGTGGTGATTTCGATGTTGCCATCTGCTTTGAGTCCCTGGCTCGGGGAATCCACTTGTGCCGTACTTGCTGTCCACAACAATTCGATGAGAGTCATTCTGCCTTGCGTTGTGGGGTTGCCAGGTGTCGCTGCAACACGTAATGGAGTTGCACGCGTCGTCTTGCCACGCATTGGACCTGGATGGTGCAGAGGACATACTGGGATGGGCCCATTGTTGCAATCAGATTGTCGATTGCTGAGCTAGTATGGTTGACGTGCCCTCGCTGGGCATTTCCACCCTATCGCACGAAGCTTGCATAGCTTTGCATGAAGCGCGCATGAGGACATGCTGGGAACTTGTTACTTTCAAGCGCGCAGTAAAGCGTGACTCTTCAGCCCGCTTTCCCGTTGATGTTCGATTCGGATCTTGCGATTCCGAGAACACACGTCAGGCATGACCAGAAACATAATACCACCGAGTCCTCAGATGAATCACGGTGGTTCCACACACATAGTCATCAACCATCCAAACCGTAAGCGCATACATCATTGGAAGTTTGTGGTATTGGTCCACGACCAGTTGAATCATTGACGCTATATGTATCCTCACTATCCCATCCAGCAACGATGCCCATGCGAGGTGCATTGATCAGGGAAGTGTGGGAGCACGCAGTGGAAAGAGAGGAGGCATGTGTCCAACAGGAGATCTGGATCAGGTTGAACCGGCCCTTGAGGCCTTCGCAGATCGTTCGATTGTGAAGGCCTGACGGCCAGTGCCGCCGACCCCGAAAGACATCGACTACGACCAGGAGGGGGAGGAGGAGGAGAAGGAGGAGAAGGGGGAGGAGGAGGAGGCGGAGATAAAGAGGAGGAGGAGAAGGAGAAGGAGAAGGAGGAGGAAAAGGACTCCCCCCTGGGCCCCCCCCCAGGGAGGAGGACCCGAGGAGGACCGGCGTGGGAGAAGGAAGGGGAGAGGGAGGAGGACCCCCAGGGATGGATGCGTATCTGAGACTCCCCTCCCCCCCACTGGGACTCCTCCCCACCTGGGGAGGGGGACCCGAGGAGGACCAGCGCGCCAGAGAAGGACCGGCGTGGGAGAGGAGGACCCCCAGAGGCGATGCGAATCTGACCACCCCACCCCCCGGGACCCCCCCCCCGGGGGAGGGGACAAAGGGAAGGGGCTTCCCTTTGACGTAATGAGGGCGTGGATGGAATTCCCTGAAGCTGCGAACACGTTTCCCGAACGAGGAAGAGTGCTCTCTCTTCTTTTTTTTTTTTTTCTCTCTTTCTCTCTCTCTCTCTCTCTCCCCCCCTCCGACGGGAGAGGAGGATGGGAAGGAGGGGCCGACAGGGTCGGCGGATTTGGGAGCCTTTTGGCAGCTCCGTTGGGCTATAAGGGGCCTTGTTAGGGCTATGATGGAAGTCTGTGGGGCCCTCTTTCGCCCCTCTCGGGGCTCTCTTGCGGCCCTCCTGAGGTCCCTGAGCCGCCCCTCTTGGCGGGCATCGATCAAGTAAGGGTGTCCTTAACTAGAGGCACCGTTCTGGATCATCTAAGATCCCCTCTGGAGGCCCTCCTGGGGCGCCGTGGAGTGCTCTTGAAGACGTCTTGGAGCCACCCTGGCCTCCTTTACGGGCTATCGTGGGCCCTCTTGTAGCCATGTTAAGGCCTCGGAAGGCACGGGACGCGAAAAGGCGAGAAGGTCAACAATATTGAGTTCCCTTCGGTTGTGGACGGAATTTGTCCTCTTGCAGGCGTCCTGAGAGGGTTCCAAGGCAATCTGGACCCATCTTGGTGCGGTCGAGGGGACTCTTGGAGCATGTTGGAAGCCATCTTGCAGCGCCATGGTGAGGCTTGTTGAGCCATGTTGGAGGTAATCTTGGGCTCCCTGAGGCACTCTTGGAGCCATCTTGGACTATCTTGAAAACTCCAACGCCTCGCGCCCTTCCCCCGACCAGACCCATGGGGGAGGGATTTACCCTCCTGATGAGGCGGGTGAGCCCCTCCAGTCAGCGCTCGGCAAGGCACCTGGGTTGCCCAGGCTCAGAGGGCCTCAGAGAGCCCAGCCCGGCTTCCAAGATGGTTAAAGATTGCGCCAGGCTGTTCAAGAGAGTTTCCAATATGCTCCAAGAGGCCTCAAGCCCGTTCCAAGACGGGTCGACGTGGCCATGGAGCCTCCCAAAGAGGCCCCAGAGAGGCCAACAGCTTTCAAACACCGATGGTAAGCCGTACATAACGGGGCGAAGCGAGATGCAATGGCCGACCTCCCCTCCGAACGGCGCTCCCGCCTCGGCCCTGGCAGTTCTCCTGCGACGACGCCTGCACGTCGTGGCAAGTTTTAGGGCGAGTCGCGAGGATGTCTCCTGTGAAATGTTCGGTTCTGCGCTTCGAACGGACATGCGAGACAACATCGGCGAATCGAACACAAGCTGTTCGATCTTCGATAATGTTACCGACTCGCCTTTTCGCTTCCGATAGACCATTGAGGCGCCAATGTGGCCCCAAGACGGCCCCGTAGAGCCCCAAGAGGGGCCCACGACGCTCCCAGGACGGGCCCAAGCAGGCCCCTCGAACGCCTCGGACTTTTTCGTGTTGCGAGAAGTCCAACAGAGCCAACCCACCAATTGCAGCTGAGGCCACAGGATGGGGCCAGGATGGTCCAACAGATGCCCCAGCCGAGCCCAGGAGTTGCCCAGGACGCCCCCCAAGGCCTTAAAGCAGCTCCCAGTACGGCCCCAAGGCCCCAGACCCCATCCAAGTTGCGAACATTCCACCAGAGCACAGAGTCCTGCTTCCGACGTAAGGAGCACGAAGAGGAGCAGTATCATCCAGCAACGTCGTCATTAGTCATTCGCTGCTCGGCAGCCAAGCGCGCCGGACGAGCATGGCACGCGTACGCGCAGAGGGAGGCCAGCATGGCAGATCATTACCTACGGCAGACCAGGCCATCACGGCAACCCCGATCAACGCGGCAGACCAGACCAGCGCGACACAATGTGTTTGTCGTCTTAATATGATGTGTTGTCTGCCGTGCTGTTTCACCGTCATGGAATATCGCTCTGGTTTGGTCTGCCCTGCTGGACATTACCGTGCTGGACAACCATGCTTGTCTGCCCCGACGTTCTGGCCTGTCCTACCGTGCTGGGCTGCAACGTGGGTCTGCCTTGGCTGTCTGCCTTTCTGGTCGGATCTGCCATTATGGTCTGGTCTATCGCGTGATGGTCTTCCGTGCTGGTCTGCTAATTTGGTTTGGCCTATCATGTTGGCATGCGCTTGCTGGGGCCTTAGAGGTAAAGAAAAGGGACAGAGGGGCCTCCAGGGGCACCAAGCGCCACCCGAGACACGCCCTCCCGAGAGGGGCCGCCTAGGGCCGCCTCTCCCCGCGGGGGCCGCACTGGGCCTCCACCGCGGCCGCACCACAAGGCGAGAACAGATCTACATACAGAATGCAACTGCTCGCCTCACGCACTACTCTTGGGCCGCGTCGTGCAACGCGCACGGACCAAAAGACCATCGAGGAGCCGCACACGCTCCTCGGCATCTGGACAACCTGCACTGCCGAGGCGGAAGCCGACGGCGCGGGCCTCGGCCCAGTCCAGGAGTGACTCGACTCCCGACTTCGGCCCCTGGGCCGCACACGCCACCGCCGCCACCGAGAAGTCGTCCAGGAATGAAACGAACCCGCACTCCGAGCCCGAGTGACCATCGCCCGCGGCGCAGCCGACGGAGTCCGCGACCAGGGGCTCCATGCCGACGGCGTGCTCGATGGCCGAACCTCCCACGGGCTTCTCCACGACGGCCACTGGCGGCGGCCGCGGCGCCCCAGCGCCCACGGCCACGGGCCCCTCACGCCCAGGCCCCTCGGCGAAACGCACTCTCCAGGTGAGTCGCCGACGAGGCCTCGCGGAGATGCCGAACCTCTCGCACTCGCAGAGGTGCATCAGGTCGACGGCCTTCGCCTGGCTCGTCCAAGCTGGGTCCGCCCACTGCGGGACAGGGCCATGCCGAAGGACTCCTGCCACACCGAGCGGGCCTCCCAGGGCCCCCACCTCCAAGGCGGTGACGTCGGGACACGGAGCGAAGGATACCCGCTTGATCCTCGCACACCCTTGCCCGACAGGAACAGCCCTGCTCAGCTCGCTGGCCCTCCTGTCGCCGAGCAGCCCGCACGGCATCGGCGCCACTCTCTCTCCTCGGACTCGCCCTGTTCCTCGGGGCCAACCTCGGAGCCGCCGGCCATGAGCTCCACCGCGTCGCCAGGCGGGCTCGCCAGAACCGCCACGTCGGTCTCTACCGCCTCGGTGCACCCAGCGCCGTCCTCGCCGGAGCCCTGCTCGGCCAGCTGCGCCACGCCGAGCTCCTCCAGCAGCGCGGCCCAGCGCGCCCACTGGGGAAGGTACGGCTGGGCGCCAGAACGCAGTGGGGTCCTCGCGGCCGCCACTCGGGCGCTGGGCAGCCGCGCTGGCGCGTGAGCCACGCAAGCATCCACAGCGCACTCGAACGGCGGCTGCACTTCGCAGACGCAGGTCTCCACCTCACACACGATGGCACTCTGCGCCGCACCGCCACGCCCATCACCAGGTAGGGGCCCTCCTGGGAGGCGCGGCCCGCGCTGAGCCCTGCGCCACGCCTGCGGCGGGGCGTCGGCCGACGGGCAGTGCTCGGCATGCCACGCGACGTTCCGCCTCTGCCGCTGCGCCCTGGTCTCGCGGCGTCCGCGGACGCGCGCCACCAAGGCGGGCCGCGCGATGGCTTCTCGGCGGAGGGCTTCCGCCTCCGCGGCGTCGCCGCGCGACCCGCACTCCAGCTGCGCGCGGAGGCTGGCGATGACCGCCTTCGCCTCCCGCAGCTCCCTGTCCAGCCGTCTCACCAGGTTGTCTGCCGCCCATCGGGCCGCCGCGACACCGCTGAGCACCTCCCGCACCATTCTGCCCAAGCGCCCGCGCGCGGCGCGCGCCCGAGCACGGCCCGAGCCAAAATGGCTACGGAAAATATCATGTTGGTATGCCGTGTTGGTCTGCCGTGGTCTGCCGTGCTGGCTGCCACACTCGCCTCTCACGCATGTATCGTTACCGTGCCTTCCTCTCTCTCTCTCTATTTCTTACTCTCCCTGCATCCGTCTCTATTGTTCGTTGTGTACCTCAGTCTTGGGCCCCGCTCATTCAGATATCATGGATTACGCGAGGGAGGAGTCTTGCAGCGCGGGTTAGGTGGAGGAATGAACCCCTC